ACTACCTACTACCTACTACCTACTACCTACTACCTACTACCTACTACTACTCCTGCTGCTACTACTACTACTAACTACTACTACCTCTACTAACTACTACTACCTACTACCTACTACTTACTACTTACTACTTGCTACTTGCTACTCACTACTTACTACTTACTACTTACTGCTACTGCTACTACTGCTACTACTTTTACTAAGGCACTTTGCTACTAGTAGCTTCTTGTGACTACAAAAGGCTCCTCTCATAAGGGTCAGCGACGCCGCGAGCGACATGGCCGCTTTTGGGTCGCTGGGTGGGTGAGGCCACTAAGGGGCAGTCTTTCATGCTTTCAAGGAGCTATCCCCATCACCTTGCCCTGCAAACCCTCGGAATGATGGGGTTCTCCAGAAAAATAACGATGCACCTGTTCCTATTAGCTTCTTGTTACTACTAGTAAGGCACCTGTTACTACTAGCGTGGCACTTGTTCCTAGTAGCTTCTTGTTTCCGGCAAGAAAGCAGAACGTCTGGAGATCTAGAAGTATTGGGCTGCAGAGAGAGTTGATGGTGATGCTGATGATGGTGGAGATGGTGGCGGCGATGGTGATGGTGGTTGGCGGTGGTGATAATGGTGATGAGTCGCGATGGTGACGGTGATGGTGGTGGTGACGGTGGCGGTGGTGATAGAGGTATTGGTGGTGATGGTGGTTGCGATGATGGTGTTGATGGTGGTGGTGAGGATGGTGGCAAGTGTGGTGGTGGCGGTGGTGAAGCGGGGCACGAGCCCTTCCACCAACCCCCGCACGACCAAATGGTAGCGCACGAAAACGCGTGCTCTTGCTAGTCCTCTTCAGTGTCCGGCTGGCAAAAAGGCAGCTGCGAACGCAACAGCAGGATTCGATGAAATTCTCGGTTTGGAGTTCATCACTCCATCGTCTCTCAAAAATCAAGGCTCTGCCTGCCTTTGCCAGCTCAACCTGCCCTTTTTTCATCCTGATCTTTAACAGCGCGAGAGTGTAGGGTAGGGAGGTGTCTAGTGATCTTGGGCTGGAGCACCCATGAGAGGGAGCACATTTGCCGTGCCTCCCACGAAGTCTGCGCTTCAAGGTTCACAAGAGACACAAAGCCAAAAACAAAGAGACCTGGATGCTGACTGACCTAAGGAACCAACTGAGTCGCAGGAGGCCAAAGACTCACAGGAGGCTTGTTCTGGCTGTATTTGCACTCTGACGTGTTTCTTTTTGCCTTCTGGGTTGGGAACAAAGGAAGTTGATCTGACAAGTCAGACGAATGTTTCAAAAATATTTTCGATCATGACTCTGACATTATGTGTTTTCTGACCAACGTGAAGGGTATTTGTATGTCGGGTAAGTCTGTGAAAAGGAGCGATGGTTGGTGGCTTGGTCCATCCTGGGCCTTTGCTGCTGTAGCCCTCGCGATTTTTTGGCAGCCAAAGCGAAGGAGCTGCAGACTTGAAGTTATTGCAACATCCCGACTTCATTTGAAGTGTTGTCTGAAAACAGTTCTGTTTAAGGAAGGTCTGAGGCTGTTGTTGGTGTTTACCTTTTCAGGATTGTGTGTACTTGCCACGCAAAACACCTCAAACCACGTTTCATTGTGAAGTGACTGGCAAATGCACCAACTGTAGATGTACGCAGACGCATGTACTTTCAGGTAGGTTCTTCGTGCTCGTTTTGGCACGATTCACTCTTCAGGAGATCCTCGGTTTCTTCCCTTTGGAGTTGAAAGGGAGGACAGGGAGTCTCCACAGAATACACGCAGATTGCAGTGTCGGTGTGAAGTCTGGTTTCTTCAAAAAATCCCGATTATTGAGGGGAAGCAAAACAATATGTTAAGTTCCATTCTCACAGCTCCACTGTGTTTGTTGGATGTCTTTCAAGCTCCCTTTGTTCAAGACTGGAATTAGCGACGTGTCCTTCGCTCCAGCACATCCACTATCCTGATTCATGTTTCGTGTTCGCTTGCTCGTTCAGGAGCCCATGGGATGCAGCTTGGCATGACAAGACATTGATTACTTGGGCATGTCTTCTTTTCCTACCCGAGGTTTGGTGAAATTTTGGGCTCCAGCAATCCTAAGCAACTCCAGTTTGTGTCAGATTTCTGAACACCCAATTGAACAGCCACACCCATTGTCGTGAATCGCCAGCTGACAGGCCTCACGTGTGAACTGCCACGCAGCACTGCTGCAGTGCAGGGACTTTGTGGCACTGCTGGTCAACGAGGCTTGGAATTTCCTCCAGGTACTCCATCAGCTAGCCCAGACATCGCCACTAGGACGCTACTAGGTACTACTAGGGGCCCAGAGCCAGCGAAAGAAGTGCTATTGACATGCCTCACTGCCTCACACACAGTTGGCCAAGGATTCTTGACCGAGCCACACGGCTCTATGGTTTGAAGGTTAGAACGGTAGAATAGAAGGTGCGCTTGTGCAAACGAATGGCGATGGCCTCCCCCTAGCAATTAGCTTCTAGTTACTAGAAAGCTTCTAGTTGCTAAGAAGCTTCAAAGACATACTAAAAAGCTTTCTTGCTACTAGTAGCAATGGCCTCCAACCTAATAGCAATGGCCTCCACCTAATAGCGTCCTTGCTACTAGTAGCTTCTTGTTACTAGTAGAAATGCCAGGAGCTACTAGTAGCATCCTTGCTCCTAGTAGCGATGCCCTTGTTCCTGGTAGCTATGCACCTTGCTACTTGTAGCTTCTTGTTACTAGGCTGAGTTGGCCCGGCAGAAGAAATTTGCCAATCAGGCCTGTCGCTGCAGGGCTAGAGTCTTCATGCTCATTTCTGCACTGTGAGTTTCCGCTGTCTCAACTAGGGCTTTTAACAAACAGGGCTATCTAGTCGTCAGATTCCTGAGCGTTCAACTCCTTTCTCAATGGAATTGCAATGTGAGATTCTCAATCTAGTAGCTTCTTGCTTCTGAGGCACTTGTTTCTAATAGCTTCTTGTTACTACTAGTAAGGCACCTGTTACTAGTAGCAATGGCCTCCAACCTACTAGCTTCTTGCTTCTAGTACTTCACCGTGCAAGTAGCAAGGGGGGCTGAAGGCCAAAATCTGGATTTTCATTTTTTGGATTTTTATTAGGAGACTTCTTTGTGCTTTTTCTGTTTCTTTCAGACCTTGTTTGCTTTTTGTTTGCGCTTCACCAGATTTGTCATCCGAACCTGCTCTTTACAAGCATGGCGGTTCAGGAAGACCACACGTTGCATCCGGAAGTGTTGTGAAGTTGCGTTCAGGTGGCTGCACCTCCAGCGGTCCTGGCGCAGAATCTTCACGCTATGTTCGACGCTCTTCTGGACAATGCGCCACTCGACTACTCATTATTCGAATCACAAGGCTTGTTTCTCCATAATTACAAGATGAGGCAAAAGTTGTCGTCGAACCAAAAGATGCAGAAGGGTTTTTAGGATACTTGATTGCATGGTGTTTTTCCTTGATAAGTGTGCCAGATCTGACGATCAAGGACAAACAATAGGTTTTTCCTTTTCACTTGGTTAACCCACGGAGCTTCCTTAGCTTTCGCCCACAGGTGCAGCTCCGATTCGCAGAAGGCAGGGGCACGTTGGGCCAAGTGGTCAAGCGAAATCGCGGTGCACAATCGGACCATTGACAGGGTCCCAATGCTGCCCTACAACGTCTCTTGGGTGTGTGCCTATTCCTCAGATGAACGAAAGAGAATGGATCTGATGGAATGCAATGAGTGCTTTTTCTTTAGGCCTTTTCATCCTCATGTTTCTTTCATGTTGACATCTGCTGTGCATTGCGGTGCATTTCTTGCAATGAAGACAGCTGTGGCACATGAATCGAGGCATGCTTCGATCTGCAGGTCCGGTCGCTCAATGCCTCTTCCGGCTTGAAGGGAAAAGGCATTCTTTGTTTCACAAGAGGAAACACAAAGGTCTAAAGAATCAAAAGCAAAAAAGAAGTGTAAAAGGTCTAAAGAAACACGTATGGGATTCCACTGAACCCTTGCTGGTGTCTTCCTGGTGTCTTCGGATTCAACGTTTGTTCTGGGATGTCATGCTGACGGTCTCCATGACCCGCATGGCCGCATGACAGGCATTGAAGATCTTGGAGACCACTTGTCGGTGCATCTTTTGGAGCGCTACAAGGAGGCGCCACTAGTAACAAAGGGCATCGCTACTAGGAGCAAGGATGCTACTAGGAACAAGGGCATCGCTACTAATAACAAGGGCATTACCACTAAGAGCAAATAGCTACTAGTAGCGTCCTTGCTCCTATCTTCGGGATCGAACTGAGCCAACCAGCGGGTTGGATCGATCCATGCCATGGCCAGTGCCATGACCTTTGACACGATACAACTAGTAGCGATGCACTTGTTCCTAGTAGCTTCTTGTTACTACTAGTAAGGCACCTGTTACTACTAGCGTGGCACTTGTTACTAGTAGCGATGGCCTCCAACCTAGTCGCGATGCAAGGTGAGATCTGCCAACCTTTGCCAGCTCCTTCTTCGAGGCCTGGCGTGCAAGCTGGCTTTCTTGTCGCAGACAGATATCTAAGCCTTCCCACTCGAGGCTCGATGAAGTCAAGACTCCGGCGGCTTCTTTCAAAGCTGGTGCCGAGAATGGTCAAAGATCAAAGGATGGACCGGATCAAGGACAGTGAGCTGCTTGCTCTGCATGGGAGCTGTTTAATTTGTTTCTTTTCGGAAGATAGTTCAGGAGCTCATGCATTTCCTCGACCAGGCAAGTCTATTTTGTTTGCAACCGATTCATTTCACGACTCTTCAAGAATTTGGAGACAACGACAACAAGTCAATTTAACCTTGCACATTGTGCAAGATCCACTTTCCTAGACTTTCATTTTGTTTCTTGTGTTTGGTTCATTTTCGTTTGGAGGCCATCGCTAGTAGGGTGGAGGTGATCGCTTCTAGGTTGGAGGCCATTACTACTAGCAAGAAGCTAGTAGGTTGGAGGCCATCGCTATTACTGTCGGGTGCAAGGACTTGATGCCATCCTTCACGCCCTTGCTGCCCTACGTCCTGAGTGAAGTCGCAGAAGAGAACGTGGCTCGTTTGTTACGGAGATGACAGTAACAACGCCACAACAACTTGGGTTGTTTGGGCCCTCTGAAGCCCTAGATGCCTCGACATGGCCCCCTTTGCATGCAATTATGCTGGATGCATTGGTGAATATGGCTATCATCACTTGGTCTTTGAGTTCGTGTTCAAAAGGATGGGAGCTTTCGTAAGATCCTCCGCTCTTTTGGATTTGGGAACTCCGGGTCCCCCAGTTCCCTCTCCAAACTACTCAGGTCACCCGCATCGCCGCATCTTTCCGCTTTGTCGAACAAGTCTACGAGCAGAAGGCGCTGGAAGAAACGACGAATCCTTCAATCTCGGTGGTGTTTGAACATGCTGCATGTCGTAAGTGTTGAAAGACATGCAGAAACTGATAAACATTCAAAGAATAGGCGATCCATCGTTTCCAAAAGCTTGAAATCTACTTTCGCATCGGAAGTTCCGACATTGCTGCATGGAACCCCCAGCCCCATGCTGGTAAAAAGAAGCGGAATTTTGCATGATGTTTGACATGTTAGCACAGATGTATGATGTAACGAATCGGATGCAATGAGTCAATGAGTGAGTTCCTCACAGCCTGACAAACCCTGAGCTGTGTCGACACAACATCGCAGAGCTGCGTCGACACGCCGTGCGACAGTTGGCCATCAACGACATTTGCGACGCCCACTGGGGGACTGTGCTCGTGCGCATTCTTTGGAACAGCGACAGGCAGTTGCGCATCGAAACACAGGTGTCTCATCCCCAGTTAACCAGTGGGGATTCACTGTAACCAAGAAAAAGACCGTGGGAGAAGGGAAAGGTCTAAATATGTCTCCAGAACAAAACAAGAGATGAAGAATAGCAAAGGGAAGAAAAGGAAAAGACAAAGGGATCAACTCTGCACATGGGGTGGAGTTGCCTAGGGCCTAGATCTACAGTTCAGGAAGATCGTCACCAAATCAAACTGCCATTCAAGCGATGAAGTCGAAGTGACACCCGACTCAAATGGAACGATATGTCAAAAAACAAAAGGAAGTGAGATCTTCAGATGCTACGCTGTAAATTAGACCCACCTCATAGCAATGCTTTGTGATTTGAGCTATTTCATGCTATTTGCATACTGCATACCTTAGCTGCAAATCAGAAGGGTTGGGCTCAACATGGCTCAACAAACATGCTGCATTGCTCCTCATCGCTGTTGGGTCGATTTCCTTCTGCGGCTGGAGGTTGTAACCCATGCTTGAGCCAAGATCTAACTAGTCTCCGCCTGGATTTGTTTTGCAAAGAACACCGCTTTGCATGGAGGTGGCCTGAGGTTGAGAGATGCAAACAAGCGACTGCGTGCATCACACGCCTGACACAGGTGGGCAGGTGGGTTGTGATGAGGGGTGGATCGTGTTGAATGCTTCTGCAATTATCACAATATGTTGAAACTCTAACTAACCGGTGTTCAAGAGTCAGAGTGCTGCGAGTGTCTTGGACTTTTCTGCCATTGCCATGTGCTTCTCCTAGCAAGCACCCGACACATGATGGTTTCGCCAGGCTTTGCCTGAGAAAAGTCAGGACACTGATCAGAGGGGCAGCCTTTCTTGCTAAGAACTACTTACAGTAGACTTTGACCGGTTTTGCCGATGCTGCTTTTGTGGGGGGCACTTAGCAGACTTATATACTACTTGCACGTTGCATTGGGCAGGACTCGAAGCAACGTGAGGCTGAAAAAGGCCCTGTGACCAAGAAGCGCCGTGGGGAGAAGAGCGTCATTGACGTGGATCGACCACTGGCGGCATGGAGCGATTTCCCGATGGAAACAAAGATCAAGTCATCCCACTTAAAGGATCATCTCAAATCCCAACTTAGGTTGCTACTAGGGGCTCCTGGCCATTGCTACTAGGAGCAAAGGGCATCGCTACTAGGAGCGATCGGACGCTAGGGGCGGTTGGTGGCCATCGCTATTTAATTTTAACGGCGGACCGATGGAGCCGTGTTCCGGTTTCGCTCCGGACCGAGGAGTGGCCACTCCCACCGGGCTCACAGAGAGTGGCTTTCTTCATGCCTTGGATATTTTACAGATTGTGATCTCTGACTCGCGCGAGAATCCCAAGTGGCAGGAGCTGCATCGCCGCTGCTGCCGTGCTTTTGCCGTCATGTGTTTCAAAGAAGATCATGAAGCTGCTGTGCTTTTGAAGGTGCTGTGCATTATGGTAACTTTTGCTTTGACGTAAACCATGTTGTTTTAAATATGCCTCGATACCGTTTGTCTGTTTCACAGGCCCATGAATTCGGAATGGCCTTATAGCTGGAAACCGAGTCCCGACCCAGGAGTATCGTCAACTCCTAGAAGATCCCGAAACTGTTCGCGGCCCAACTTCGTGTCCCAGCGGGTCAGAAATGGAGGCCCTTCGCGTCGACTGTTTGGTTTCGGTAGGATTGGCCTGGCCCAAGAGCAAACAGTGCCAACAGGGACCTACTTTCAGAACTGGACACGTTAATATGGTTGTTGCAGCCACTTGCCGAATCTTGCAATCAACATGCACCCATGGTTGTTGTTTTGATGTGACATCCTGTTCGGATATTTATTTTGATGTCAGGTACCTCTGGACATGCCACGCTTCCTTCGAAGTGCATCTGTGCTGCTGGAACTCCTTGGCGAACAGCTGCATCGTTTTGCTGTGAAGATGTTTGAATTCTTGTGGCTTGTAATAGAAGCGACTTTGATGTTGTCTTTGTGTGCTGTGTTTTTGTGTATGTTTCATTCGCTACTAGGAACAAGTGCATCGCTTCTAGTAACAAGTGCCTTACTAGTAGTAACAAGAAACTACTAGTAACAAGCGGTGTTTTTGTGTTTGTTTCATCCGATGTTTCAAGATCCGGGAAAGACGTACCCGACTTCGTGAATGGCATCTAGACTTGCTACTTGAGGCAATGCGCCTGTGCTCGTTTGCAGAATGCAGATACTCTCCGCTGTTGGAAGCACTTTCTCCGTATTGGGGTGATGTGTCTCGGCTGTGGCAGACTTCAACTGGAATCCCATCGAACCGGTCTCATGTAATGCGGTATACACGTTTTGGAGCTCTTTGAAGCATTTAGGCGGCTGAAGCCGCTTTTGCCTGCCTTGGTGAGCGAAATGCTGAAGCTCGCAGTAAATTTGTGGCTTGGTTCAGGCAGGATGGTAGCTGCTCGAAGGATTTGTCTCAATTGTTTTTTTGGCAGAAGTATTATAATCTCCTTGCGGTGTCAAACGGAGCATGCAACACATGACAAGTCACATGACATGTCTTTTTTTTAAAAGTAAGTCTTACAGTAAGATTTGAGCCACGCAGTCGCTGCGCAGAATCTAAGGCAGGAGACGGATGCGACTGCCTTCCAGGACGATGCGCGACTGAGTAGAACAGAAAATATAAGGTGTGTTTGTCCTGTTCCTGTTCTTATTTTTGCCCGTTCCTGCTGTATTATGTAGGCGCCTTCGGGATGGTTTGGTTGGTTGCCGTTCGGGATACGACCTGTTTGGAGGCCTTGAAGGCACCACATTATTTGACATATGTTCATAGTGCAATGTAGTGCATTGGTTGGAGAGGTCTCAGTGGTTTTAGTCTTTGAGGCAGAACTTGATGAGGACCGAACTACTTACTAGTAGTAACAAGTGCATCGCTACTTCGCTTCTAGTAACAAGTGCCTTACTAGTAGTAACAATGTTTGCTATTAGGAACAACTTGAGGACCTTTGAACTTGGACGGACCTCAGGTAGTCTCCTGAGTGGTCCACTCTCGCAGTGAGGAGCTTCAGCGGACCTTGGTCTCGATCGTACAAGAAACGCTTCCTCACCCAGAGGCCTCGCTGTTCCCAGAGCCGGGCACAGTGCAGAACGCCAGGTCCCCTGCAGCTTCTAAAGCCTTAAATATATGACGTTCCTTTTTTCTAAGAAAGCGCTGTTGCAAGAATGTTAGGAGAAGTTGCCGTGAATATCAGGTTCCATCGCAGGGTGGGGACAAGTCCACCTCCACTGCAAATCAGGGGCAGAACACCAACTAACTACTTAATGGGTTTAAAGGGAAACTTGGCTTTGCTCGTAAGAGCTAAGAGCAGTTCGTTAAAACCAATGACGTGTCACTGCTGGTGGACTGGTGGAGCGTTCCCTTATTTTTTGCTAAGCCAGCTCAGTGGGAGACTTGGCTGCACGCTGTGTCATGCCATGCCATGCTGTGCAGGTTTTGTTGGCCTTTCCTCCTCTGCCAGATCATTTGCGTGGTAGCCGAAATCAGATCGAGAAGGCGGGAATTTGATCCCATCGCTCTCCAACTTGGTAAATAATTGCGTTTATTGTTTTTCCTTTTCTTTTGGCCGTGAAACCGTTCCTTTTCTCTTCCTTTCTTTTTTGTCAAGAAGCATTGCTTCAAACTCACTACCAAGACGGCGAGTGGGCTAGTATCTCTCAGCCCACAATGTTCAAAAAACGTGTTGTTCCGAGCAGCAGGGGGAAAACATTGGAAGACAATGAAGGCCCTTTAGCAGCAACAGGTTTCATGCAGGTTTGGCTTTTGCTTGTATTTCAGAGGCTTTGGGGAAGATGAGCCTACAACAACGCTTGGAGTCCACCACCAAGCAGCTGGAGGTCTCTCATCAAGCGACTTGCTTGCCGACTAGCTCATGGCCTCCAACCTACTAGCGATGGCCTCCACCCTAGAAGCAATGGCCTGCCTCCAAGCGCATGTGTGTTTGGACCTGAGATCCATGGCGATCCGAAGGAGATTTGCTGAGAATCTGAGGCCGTCCGACATGCTATCCTGGAAGGTTTGATGCACTTCTTGACGCAGCAGCGAAAGGCTCGCCTTGATAAGACAAGATCGAGAGGCCAACAAGGACTGCAGAACTGAACTATTCAGTCTTCTCCTGCGCAGAAGACCAAGTTCATGTTGTTTTACTCGATTTGCCTCCTGCAAGACTGGTTCCGGTGAATTTATTGTCAACACTGGCCGGCACAAACCTCCGGTGTTTGTTTTTTCGTATTGATGGTTCAAGTCGGTAGTTGCTTTCCTCAAAGAGTCCGAACCGTCAATTAGGGTGGAGGCCATGGCTACTAGCAACAGGACGCTACTAGTAGGTCTTTGAAGCTTACGAGTAACAAGAAGCTTCCTTGGGAATCGTTTCACTCGGAATCGTTTCACCTGTAGTAACAAGAAGCAAATAAGATGTTTTCTTGACTCTTGCGGCGAGAATTCTGGTGCGAGGCATTCAGTGCTTTGGCTGACCTACCAGGGGATGTCCTTGGAAGGCTGATGAAGATCCTGCTCAAGCTGCTTGTCTTCAATCCTTAAAGCTTTGATTTTTGGACATCTCACTACTCACAACCTGCTCTTCAAAGGCTTTAGGTCGGCATTCTTGACTCCCTAAACCATACAGTCCTACTCCAAACAAGACGCTCGTAGGAGGCCTAAGGGCCATGAATGTTCTTCTTTGGGTTTTAACATCATGGCTTTTGAGGAGTGCGGTATTGCATGCTTGGTTGTTTGCTATGTTTCTTCTAGGCGATACGCTTTTGGGCAGCGTTCGTGTGTATTGCAACGGCTCTTGACCCACGAAAACTAGTACTATAGCGCGTGTGTGAAACCCTTAGAATCACAGAGAATCCTGTCATTTGTTTTTTAGCAGGGGAGTGGAGCAGGCCTGCAGAGCTCCACTTAACAAAGCTCTCTGCAGTGTCCTGAGGATATCACTGGAGACGTCCAGTGACGTACCTGCGATTTCTGTGGTGTTATCAAACTGTCGCGGCTCGTTGCTTTTCGAGACTTTCGATTTCGTTGGCGTTGGAGGCCTCCTGGAATTACAAATGGAGTTGGTTGGACTCCGCTCCACTTTTTGTAGATTTTCGTTCCTGGACTCTTAGGTTTTTACTTAGGCTGGCGAGTGGCAAGCCGCAATCGTGTCAGCACGCAACTTCTCCAGTGTGTGTGTGTGTGCGCGTGCCAAAAGCATTCAAGCGAAGAAGGTGCAACACTACCTGAAAGCACCGGTGCCAAAAAAGCCTTTGTTACTCGAGTGACACGTGCACGGTGCACTGATTTTTGTTATCATGTTGCCATGACAACTGCAAGACTACTATAATAGCGCAAGGAACCTAATAGCGACGGCCGCCAACCTACTAGCGATGGCCTCCAAAGCCATTGCTTGCCTGTTCACTTCCAAACCCTTTTTTTGAGAGATGCCGTAAGTTGAGGTTTCTGTCAGAGAGTATTTCACAAGGCTGGTGTTGTTGTGCACTTCCGAATGTTGCAAGTCAGCTGCAAAGGCAAAGACTCATATTTGTCAATGCTTTCGTTTTACAAGTCGGCAATTTTCAAGTATCTGGACGTCAATCATGTGTGATGTGTGGTTCATCCGCCAAGAAAACAATGTGTGCAAGAACAAATTCGGACCACCTTAACCAAGCTCTTTCCAAGGTTGAGACGCCAAACGAGAACGCGTGAGTAGTCGTGTGAGGCAACCGAAGTAGCCAATTACTTTGTGGACAAGTCTTGGGCGCTTTTGGTGCCATTGACCCTGCACGCTTGGCCGGTCAGGCACGGTGTCGTTCGACAGAAATCCTCAAGGCGCTCCATGTTTTAACGTTTGTTTTCGTTTCCTTTTCTTTGTTTCTCTTCTCTTCTCGTCTCTTCTCTTCACGTCTCTTCTCTTTATGTTTCTCTTTCTCTTTCTATTTTCTTTCTTTTTCATTTTTGGTACTCCACTGTTTGAGAAAGCAACGATCTAAGAGAGAAGAGAGAGTGCGTGCACAGAGCTGGCTGTGCAAGGTCTTAGTCGAGCGGCACAATCCAGTCAACGACCACCGCGCTCAGAAAGGCCTTGCGACGGTCAGCTTGAGCTGGGGCGTTCAAGGGTTTTGGGAGTTTAGGGTTTTCTTGTTACTAGTAGCGATGCCCTTGTTACTAGCAGTTTTTTGTTCCGAGTAGTAAGGCCAGGAGCACCCCTAGTAGGAGTACCCCTAGCAGTGTCCTTCCTAGTAGCTTCTTGTTCCCCACATCACCATGTGGGGTTCCAGTCCTTCGCTCTGCACCCGCCGCTCCGCAACCTCCGCCCGCCCGCCTCCGCCGCCGTCGCCGTCTGACACCACTCATCTTACACCACATCTTCCACCACCCATCTCACACCACGTATCTTACACCAATCATCTTACACCACTCATCTTACACCACTCATCTCACACCACTCATTTTACTCACTCATCGTACACCAACTCATCCTACACTACTCATGTTACCCCACTCATCTTACACAACTCATCCAACACAACTCATCTTATACACCACGCATCTTACACACACATCACACACAACTCATCTTACGCCAGTCATCTCACACACTCATTCTACACACCTCATCACACCCCACTCATCTTACACAACTCATCACAACCCACTCATCTTACACCACACTCATCACAGCCCACTCATCTCGCACAACTCATCGCACACCACTCATCTTACACCACTCATCACACCCCACTCATCTTCAACCACTCATCACACACCACTCATCTCATACCACTCATCTTACACCACTCATCTTACACAACTCATCACACACCACTCATGTTACACCACTCATCATACACAACTCATCACGCACCACTCATCTTACACCACTCATCACACCCCACTCATCTTCAACCACTCATCACACACCACTCATCTTATTCACGTTTATCGCCCAGTATCTGTCCGTCCTCTTTTCTTATCAGTCTCTACTTATTGTTGCTAGTTCTTACAAGCTTAACATTTGGGGTTATCCGGTCCTTTTATTACCAAAAGTTTTTCAGGCGCGTCGCTCTTCTGCAGGCGAAGTTGAGTTGGCGAAGTCCGTTTTAGAAGATTTCTTGGCGCCTCACTTGACCAACAACTCCTTTGCATTTGCTGCACAGGAGAGGGTAGATATTTCGTTTTCTGCCTAAGTTGTGGATGTTTGGTTGCCGGCAAGGCGGTCTTGATGAACTTGATGGGACCCTATTCTTTTTGATGACTCGGACCGGGCCTTTCCGATGAGTGTCCACCTGTCAGTCGGTCCAATCGATAGGAGATCTTCAGCCATTTGAAGAGCGCTGGCAAAGAGCAGCAGGTTTGGGAAAAGCTTCATAAGGACACCAAACTTGCTGGCGAGGCAGTTGGACTAGTGCCAGCAATCCCATCAATGTTCAACCGTGCAGCATGAACCTTGACAAAGTCCTGCCTTCTCACGCCAGAAACTTGAAAAATTGCCGGACTGGCAAGCCTTCTCGCAGCTAGCCAGTGTGTCTCGAGATCCGCCAGGATGCAAGAGAGGCGCTGAATCCATATCGCACCAGCAAATATCAGCACCTGAGATCATTTTGAGAGATGTTTTTGAGAGCACACGTTCTTAGACCCAGTGAATTTGCAGCCAAGACTTGACCGTCTACCCGGTTTGCCTCGTAGTCCGACCCCCTCATGGAATTGCAACCTTTTTGCTCAGACGACCCGGACATTTTGTTGTTTTGTTTGTTTGAGCTCTAAGGAACCTTAGTGGAGACTTGCTTTGCAGCCCAACCAGCTTTGAAGGTGCTGAATCTGCACTTGCTGCACAATGTGTTCTGTTGCTTTGCTGTCGTTTCTGTCGTTTCACCTTTTCATCGGATCAGGTGCTCTAGAGGAAGCCACCACACTGCTACCCGTGGAGCGGAAGGCTTTCTTCCAGGCAATGGGCAGATCACAAAGGCTTAGAGTTCATGCAAACTAGTAGCGTCTTTGCTAGTAATTAGTAACAAGGGCATCGCTACTAGTAACAAGGGGCATTACTACTAGTAGCAAATAGCTACTAGTAGCGATGCCCTTTGTTAGAGGAATGATCCACTAGGAGGTGTTCTGTTTTTGGATGACGCTTTGTGTGGAGTTGACCTCACAACACGGGGCATTCCTCCGTGTGCATCCCGCGTTCCTGCGTTCCTAGGCATGTTTGCCAGCTGCCCCTGGGAACCATACCTTGGCGCTCTTCCTGATGCATCACGTGCCGACCTTGTTTTCCGTAGAGACGCTAGTCAACGACGAGCTGAGCAAGCTAGATAGATTCCGGTGTCAATTTGGCACGCTAGTGGCTTTGTATAATCTAGAGCATCCTGAGCCATCCGCAAGGAACACGTGATTTGCAGGTGTTTTTGAGGTGATGAATATGAGTGCCCACAGTCCATCCCGACACATTCAGTTGATCACAGTATCATGTTTTTGAAAGCCGGGTAAATGTACGTCAAGAAGAGGATGAAGCAGGAGCTCAGCTGAGGCTTTGCAGGAGCTGATCATGGCACCAGAGTTATCGTGCTCGGACTTGGCCAGCTTGGCCAAGAAGCTGGTTGATTTGCTGACCTTCACAGGCACAACACTGGGGCTGCGCTGCAGGTTGCATGTAGCGCAGCTGAGTCATGAGTATAGTATCGTCCTTGCTCCTAGATATCAGAAATGAACAATATATTTTCCCGTTGAGAGGTCAGCCTTGGAGAGTCAAGCCACATCTTCAAAAACGGAAAAGGAAAGACTGGTGCGTTCAAAGACAAATGAGAAATCGACCGATGCGATGTTGTCAGCTGTACCAACTACGTGTTATTACAGAGCAATCGTTTATTCTTCACCATGCAATGTGCAATCCGGTTGGAAGAAGATTGGAAAATACCTTTTACATTGAGGCGGTTCTTGTGTTTCTTTCTCCACTCATCGACTTGTGAAATGGCTTTCAGGGAAAGATGCGCCTGAAAGCCAAGAAACTGCGACAGCACAGGCAGCACCTAGGCCGCATGGGGGTTGCTCTCTTCTGTGATACTTCTGACCTTTCCATGGGTCTTTTCTTTCATTTTATTCTTTAAACTGATTGAATCCATTATATCATTCATTTCTTATTTACATGTCTTCTTTCCATCTATTCGGTTCTTTATGTTTTTCGTTTATGGTTTCATTCTTTAAATGAAGTAAATTCATTTGTATGTTGTGCATTTTCTTGCATTGTTCATTCTTCTGTTTCTACAGGAATTCTGAGGTCTTTACCACAACGTTCGGACTGTTAGACTGAGGTGTTTTCGTTGCTCGACAGTCTTTTCCAGAAGAAGGACTGAACGGCGAAATTTGGCAAACTAGTAACAAGGGCATCGCTACTAGTAAAGGCGGGTTACTAGTGGCTCCTGCCCTTACTACTAGGAGCAGGGACGCTGCTAGTAACAAAGGGCATCGCTACAAGAAACAAGGCGCGTTACTACTAGGAGCAAATAGCTACTAGTAGCGTCCTTGCTCCTAGTAGCGATGCCAGGAGCCCCTAGTAGCGTCCTTGCTCCTAGTAGCGATGCCCTTTGCTCCTAGTAGCGTTACTACTAATTAGTAGCAAGCAAATGATGTTTCTTTTTAGGGGGGTAGGCCGAGTAGAGGTAGGTAGGTAGTAGGAACTGAGGTAGCTATTAGCTCAAGTAGCGACTTCTTAGGACGCAGGAGTGCTCGCACTATTCATTTGGTTCCTAGATTTTAGGGAAACTTACCGATTTGGTGAAGTAGCTAGAAACTACTAGTGACAAAGGGCATCGCTACTAGTAACAAGAAGCTACTAGTAGCAAAGGGCATTACTACTAGTAGTAGCTCCCCTCTGCTAGTAACAAGCACATTACTACTAGTAGCAAGAAGATACTAAGTAGTAGCGATGCACTTGTTACTAGTAGCGATGCACTAGGCTATGCGGAGGTTAAGCTGAGGACATTTGGAACCCTCGATCTACTTCAGACTGTTTGTACATAGGCGGAATTGACATCGAAGACATCGTGCGAGGTCTGGATGAATAGAAGGCTTCTTGCTCCTAGTAGTAAGGCCAGGAGCCCCTAGTAGCGAACCTTGTTACTAGTAGCGATGCACTTGTTACTGGAAGCGATGCACTTGTTCCTAGTAGCTTCTTGTTACTACTAGTAAGGCACTTGTTACTAGTAGCGATGCACAGAATGCAGGACTCTAAAAAGGCATGTGCATTTTAAGCCGTGATCTTCAGGAGGAGATCAATACAACACCCAGCAGTCGTGCTGGTGACGAGACCTGGAAAAAGCGGCAACTACAACGCATTGTGCTTCAGCTTCAAAAGCCAAAGGGAGCAATGTTCGCTACTAGGGGCTCCTGGCATCGCTACTACGAGCAAGGACGCTGCTAGGAACAAGGACGCTACTAGGGGCTCAACTCCAACCTAAAGAGCGATGGCCTCCAACCTAGGAGCTAAAGTCTTTGATTTTCTCACTGTGTTTCAGAGCAAAAGGGTCAAAAATCCATTCCAGCGGCAAGGGTCCCGGTAGAAGACCTCAGACCTGGGTGGAAGAGGGACGAAGAGGGACCAGGAAAGAGAAGGGAAGGAACAGAAAGGGGAAGAGGAAGGGGAAAGAGGGGAAGGAAAGAAGGAAGGAAAGACCCTTGTTACTAGTAGCGTTGCCCTTGTTACTAGTAGCGAAAGGAAGGAAGGACAAAAAGACATGGACAGGGTGTTTCGACTTGCATTCTTATTGTTTGTGGCAAGGGTGCTCAAGGGGGGCCAATACCTAAGTGCTTTCCTCTCAAAGTGCTGTAAAGGTGTAAAGGGAAAGCAATGGAAAACATGTGTGTTTTCAGTTTGCCAAATCCAACACATCTTAGGAGGCGCTTTGTGGACCTTTTTCCTTTCGCTTGGTCCTCAACGCAGCACTACGCTGCGGTGCCCATGCTCGAGCACTTCAGTTTCTCGAGATGGAGTTGGAGGTGCAAACATGCGGGAACAATGCCACGTTGTGGAACGATGTGGAACTCAATCTTTGGAAAGAACAAAAACACAAATGAAAACAAACAGACATGTGACATGTGTTTTTTGTTGTTGTTTCCTTTTTTTATTTCTACTTCGTTGATTCTAGTCAAATGTCTTTGCAAGTCAAAGCATTGACCCCGGACTCCCCAAGGGCTTGTGGGGACGCCAGAAGATTCTGGGGACTGTCACTTCAGCTTACGTAACTCAATGATGTTTCCAAAATTGCAAGCTTACAGCAAAGAAGCGTCACCGTGTCAAGTGTCAAGAGTTTGGGTACAGAGTTACACTAGAGAGGATGTCATTCAGTTTATGCAATGTTTCTTGTTGGAGGCCATCGCTCTTAGGGCGGAGGCCATCGCTACTAGGGTGGAGGCGATCGCTACTAGGTTGGAGGCCATCGCTTTCAGTTCAAACAGAACCGGCCATGACGCGAGGCCACCTGTGGGGAACGGAGCTTTGCTGAAGGAAGCCGCTTGGGTGAGGCGGACTGTGAGCTACTACAGCAGATCTACCATGAACTAGGCGCGACTCGCGGCGAGACCGGACGCCTGCCGAGACTGGACTGAGTCTCGCAAGGAGGGTCTCTAAGGGTAGGTAATGGTTCCTAGTAGCTTCTTGTTACTACTAGTAAGGCACCTGTTACTACTAGCGATGCACTTGTTCCTAGTAGCTTCTTGTTATTAATTAGTTTCATTCCACAGGTGAATATCATGGTGAAGAAGGGATGCTGCAAATGGAGCTGGAGAGATAGATGAGTATGGAGTTGGGAAGGAAGCGTGGGACTAAAACGACGGCCTCGTGGTCAACTCAAATCGCTATAAAAAGGTAACTACGTTTAGTTCCGGCCACAGCAGCGTGAGCTGTTCGTTTGAAGGTGTTCGGACATTCTTGGTTTCCACCACCATTGTGAGGAGTAGCTTGTTGAGCCGTCAGGGGTAGAAAAGATCAACTTTGGCATTTCGGCAAGCTCAGCAGCACGGGAAGTATATAGCTGGTCATGAGTCATGGTCTAGAAATCATGTGCTGTTCAACCGTTATTGCTACCTGTCGTATATTATAAGGGGTAGCGATGAGAAGTTCAGGACCCAAGATCCAAGTAGCATTTTGTTAATTCTCGATAAAAGAGTAGAAGCACGAGGCCCATTTTAACATGACTTGGAACGGTTAGTAGCACTTTGAGCGAGGACTTTCAGTGTCCTGTACTGCCAGTGCGGCAACATCAGGTGAGCCAGATGGTGTTGTGGGTGCAATACGTATTGGGCCAAACGACAGGAGCCGCATCAACATGTTGTTGGAAAGACACCTCGGGGTGGCCAGAAGACTAAGTGGAGCTTGTTAGTTGTAAGTTATAACCGAGTTAGGGGTAGATTTGTTTGTGCAGTCCTGCTTTTTGGTTTTGGACAGCGCCCTCAAGGTTTGAGGAGTCGCTTTTCCGACTTGCTCGTTGTGCACGCGCCCTTGTCTCCGCCCCCTGGAACTGTCCACGGCGACCGCTTGTTTCCACGATTTTAGACCTGTTTGAGAGCGCGTTTCATTTGCATGCTGGCTGGTTGAGCTTTCCTTCTGCATTCTTCAGAGTCCAAGCTTTTATAGCCTGGCTGCAATAGAATTTGTGCTCAGGTTTTCCTTTCATTGTGATGTGGGTGTTCCTTTGTAAATGTCAATTCACTGCTGTGCACTTGCTTTTTTGATGTTCCTGTTATTTGTTTTTCCTACAGCCTGTAAATCAACAAATGGTAATTTACACATGTTTATACAACTGATTGTCGTGCTTTTTGGGGGTTCTTGTGCTTTTTGGTGTTTTTTGTATGTTCCGTCATACATTGCTTGCTTGTCTTTGATCTTCCTCAGCGTTCCCAGCTTGACATGCTGTCTCGGTCACGTTGCATTGTGTCTTGTTGCATTGTGTCTTGTAGATCGCAGCCACAACTTGCAACACGTTGCTTTTGACCGAACATTGCTGGACGTCTGAAAGGTTTCGCCTAAACTTAATTACTTACTAGTCGCTTCTTGTATCTTCTTGTTACTACAGGTGAAACGATGCCCAGTGAAACGATTCCCTTTGTTTCATTCACTTTCCTTGGAATTTGATGTTTTTGCTCGTGGTGCGTGCTCGCGCTGGCGAGTTTGGCCTCAAAGTCCCATGCAACGATCAATCTACACTTCCTGGCGTCAAAACACCATGCCAGCATCGACTAGCGATGGCTTCCAACCCACTAGCGATGGCCTCCAACCTAAGAGCGATGGCCTCCATAGTAGTTGTTTTTGGGTTGTTGGGTCGTTGGGTTTGTCAAATCCTGGCAGGACAAGAACATCCGAGCTCGAACTGCAGGGCCGCTGGTCTGATATGCAGGCAGATGCGAGTTGTGAAATTGCGATGTGTACTACTGTACTACCTGACATTTGCAGATAACTCTACTAGACCTTTCTTCCTCTTTGTGTTCTTTCTCTTTGTTTCTACTAGCAATGGCCTCCAACCTAATTGCGCTGTGTGAGCCTCCAGGCTTGACCGTATCGGTGCCAGGCGTCCTACGAGCAAATGGCTGGGCATGACCGTTCGAAAGCCCTGTGCGGTCTCGTGAAATGTTCACAGGCATGGCGACGACCTGCAACCTTGGCGACGGATGTTCCAAAAGAATGGTGTTGGACCGCAAAAGAACATGCTTAGCCTAAACATCACCAAAATACAGATTCGGAACTTTAAATATGTTTGCAGCATCTTCTTTGATCTCCTTTGCACATGTCCACCAAGAGATGCCTTTAAAGAAAGATTTCACACTCATATGGCGTTTGTGTGCAGGCCATGTGTCGCTTCGAAAGCTCCTTGCAGCTGATCAGTGGCATTCGACAGGAGAGGACTATGAAAAAGGATGTTGGAAAAAACTTTGCCCCATGAATGTAGAAGTTCATAACGGTCATACACAATCATAGCTCGATCGATGCATCAAACCGGAGACATCCAGGCATCAGACATAACATTGCAAAAAAGAATATCGATCACTAATCACTAATAGCAATGGCCTCCAATCTAAGAGTGATGGCCTGCCCCTAACAGGAACAATTGCAGAAAAAATAAATCAAATGCAGATGTGAGCTGAGCGGAGTGGGTGCGCACTAATTCAGGAACTCCCCGAGCTCACGGAGCATTTGCAGCCAAGGTCGGTCGAGGCGGGGGGCAGCGGGGTTGGTCCGGGGGGCATTGGCTGAGGTCGTTGGAGGTAATTATGTGTGAAAGTGTGTGTGTTGATCGCTATGGGAATGGCAGCATCACCCACAACAAAGGGGTTTGAGAAGAGAGACCAAATTTCATTTGTCGCAGACCAACAAAGAAGCTGACGTGGTTGGCACCCTGATGCAAAAAAACACCAATCTGACAACATCACATTTCATTTCATAAACCCTGCCTTTGTATTTGCAGCACCTTTTATTTGAAACACCTCCCTTTCCTTCAAACAATATTTTTCCATATGCAGTCTGCTGATGTTCGATTGAGGCGGCGTGGCAGCTTAGCAGTTGGCAGCGATTGGAGGAGGCGTTGGAGGCCAGGGAGTAAGCTCCTAGCTACTTAGGTTTCTATTAACTGGATGCAGGATAGTTCACGCTTCTGCATGGAAGCTCCCCACATGTTTAGGGAACTTAATTCCTTTGTGAAAGACGAGCGAAAGAAAACCTAAAAGACGAGGTCGGGGGTAGATTGCAGCCAAGCGTTCTTCGGACGGCAAGGCTCCAGGAGACCAGATTGCAGCCAAGGACTTCCAGGCCAAACATGATAGCCATGAGAGAATTCTATTGAGAGCATACCGATCGGGTTCTTGTCAAGAAAAGTTGATGAGAAGGTTTTAGGGTTGGAACGGTTGGACGCTCTAGTTTATTCTCGAGTGTTCCCTGGTGACTCTTGGTAGATCGAAGTTTTCTGTGCAGATTCTCCAATTTGATGTTTTCCGTCACTAGGAACAAGTGCATCGCTAGTAGAAACAAGTGCCTTACTAGTAGTAACAAGAAGCTACTAGAAACAAGTGCATCGCTACTAGTAACAAGTGCCTTACTAGTAGTAACAAGAAGCTATTAGTTTGATGTCCAAATCAAGCTCGTAGCAAGTCGGACACAACTTCCTCTTGAACATTTAGCTAATGGTGATGCACTTCCTCCTAGTAGCGATGGCCTCCACCCGGCCTCCAACCTACTAGCGATGACCTCCAGCCTAAGAGCGATGACCTCCACCCTAAAAGCGATGGCCTCCAACCTACAAGCGATGGCCTCCAACCTACTAGCGGTGGTCTCCAACCTAAGAGCGATGACCCCCAACCTACTAGCAATGGCCTCCAACCTAATAGCAATGGCCTCCAACCTGATAGCGGTGGCCTCCAACTCACTGCCGATGGCCTCCAACCTAATAGCCATGGCCTCCAACCTAGTAGCGATGGCCTCCAACCTAATAGCGATGTCCTTCACCCTGTTAGCGATGGCCTCCAACCTAATAGCGATGGCGTCCACCCTAATAGCGATGGCCTCCAACCTAGTAGCGATGGCCTCCACCCTAATAGCGATGGCCTCCAACCTAGTAGCGATGGCCTCCAACCTAATAGCGATGGCCTCCAACCTAATAGCCATGGCCTCCAACCTAGTATGGCCTCCAACCTAATAGCGATGGCCTTCACCCTGGTAGCGATGATGGCCTCCAACCTAGTATCTTCTTGGTCCTAGTAGTGACGCCAGGAGCTGCTAGTAGCTTCTTGCTACTAGCTTCCTCTTGAAGAATCCCGAGTCAAATCCGCTGGAGGTTCAAATCAAGTCGGAACACAACTTCCTTTTGAACATTTAACTACTGGCGATGCACTTGCTCCTAGTAGCGCTGGCCTCCAACCTCAAGTGTCCCTAAAAATCTAGAAAACAAATCATTAGAAGTGCGAGCTCTCCTGCATCCCAAGTAGTCGCTATTTAAACTACTAGTGACTCCCTAGCTACTAGCATTAACGTCCTCCTTTCGTTTCCTGAATGAATAGAATCCGGAGGTTCAGCTGGGCGATGTGCTGTTGCACCTCCATGGCCGTGATGAAGTGAAGCTGCAGCAACGAATACAAGAGACCACTGTAGAGGCAGGAACAAGTGCCACGCTACTAGTAACAGGTGCCACGCTACTAGTAACAGGTGCCACGCTACTAGTAACAGGTGCATCGCTACTAGTAACAAGAAGCTATTAGTAACAGGTGCCACGCTAGTAGTAACAAGAAGCTAGTAGGAATAAGTGCTTTACTACTAGCAGAGGCAGGGTGTTTTTGCAGCATGCATGGTCCCTTTAGTTATGTGTTTTTTGTAGACGGTCTTTTTTTTGTTGTTTAGACCTTTTCCGGTGGTTTTTGTGTTTTGCTTTGCTTTTTTCATTTACTTTCTTTACATCCCTTTTAGTTCTTGGACTCAATTACTTGCTACTACTTGATCATTTTTCACAGGGCTTTGAAAGCCAGTCCGGAGCCAGTCCGGAACACCTTCCCGAATCCTCCTGTTGCACCAACGAGAAGGTGAAGTTGCTCATTCAGGGGCAAAGGACGCTACTAAGGGCTCCTGGCCTTACTACTAGGAACAGGAAGCTACTAGTAACAAGGGCATCGCTATTAGTTAAGGTCTTGTTGGACCATCAAATTGCTTTCAATCTCATGGAATGCAGGATCCTTGAGCATTCACTAGTAGTATTATTAGTGGCATTCTTGCGAGGGCAAATAAGGCCAAGACCTAACAACTTTGTAGAAAGAAACGTCTATGCTCTCCCATTTTTGAAGGTTTGTGCCTGTTCTATTTCTGGTTACTGGACCTAGAGTCTTTTTATGTTCCAGGCTGTTTGCAGATGTTTGCAGCCAATATCTCCTTCGTCGTCCATCTTCAGAAAAGCCAGGTCGCCTGTGCTGCATCTTTAGCAGCACGAGAGTCTTACACCAGAGCTTACCAGCATATCCTTCGTGGGGGTTCCTAGCTGCATTGCAATGCTCAAACACATAGATTAGATGGAACATGGAACCTCGGCTGGTGCAAACTATCTTCAAGCCGTTTGCTGTGCTTCATTTTGCATCATTAGGCCTCCATGTGCTTTCAGATCTGCAATGGTTGAGTCAGAAACGGCAGGACACATGACACATGAGCCTGCAGAAGCTTCAAGTACATCTTGGTTTGCCAAATTTTGAGGAACATGAATGCTTGTTTGCACATGTTGATTTCAAAAGAAATGAATACTTAGGCCTGATACATAGAGTAGTTACACATGAAGCATGTCTTGCTTGGCTGATTCTGACTGCATGTTTGCCATATTTGCGGGAGGAGCCTGGCATTGCACAGAACCTTCTGAACCGCTGTGTGCCTCAGCGATGGATCATTGTTTCACCTGCCCGATGTGCCGATGTGAATGATGCTATACTACTAGCGTGGCACTTGTTACTAGAAGCGATGCACTTGTTACTACTAGCGTGGCACTTGTTACTACTAGCGTGGCACTTGTTACTAGTAGTAACAATAAGCTATTACAATCAAACTAAACTTAAGTTAAATTAATAGCTTCTTGTTACTACTAGTAAGGCACTTGTTACTAGAAGCGATGCACTTGTTACTACTAGCAATGTATTTGCTATTCAAGTTGTTCACGCTTGCCGGGTTTTATTCATGTATTCCGTTTGCTACTAGCTCTTGGCATAGCTACTCTTTACTAGGTTACTAGGAGCAAGAAGCTATGTGAATACGCCTCAGCTCCATACATGCTCACAGTGGCCAAGGCTCCAACAATAGTGTCTTTGCAAAGTTATGCTTCGACACGGGATGAGTGAGACCTAAGCTGTCAGGATATCACGACCCCTTCATTCAGTGCACGGCAATCTCTCTTGGCACCACTACGTGTGGCCTTGCAGGAGTCTGTCTTCCGTGTGTTGAAACCTTGGTAATTTCTTGCAGGCTAGATTTGCATCCAACACAAGTGTGTTCACCTTGCTTCTGGCTTCTGTTGGCAATCTAGCAGTGCACCTTATTTTCAAGATCGAGCGCAATCGAAAGACAATAGACTGTGAAAGAGGAATTGTCAGGATTGTGCAGAAAGCCATTAAGAGTTGAAAGTTATGTTTCTTTCTAAAGACGAAGCTCCCAGCACGTTCCGAGTTCCTCCCAGCTCTGGGGACCTGCAGGACCTGAACCTTCGCAATGAAGCGAAGAGCATTGAGTTGGCCTTTTCACGTCTTTGTGGCTTTGAGTGAAGATGGAGGACCTCGCTACTAGGAGCGATCGGACGCTACGTTCGGGGCTCCTGGCCTTACTACTAGTAACAAGAAGCTATTAGAAACAAGTGCCTTACTAGTAGTAACAATAAGAATTTAATTGGAATTGTAATTACTAGCAAAGGAATCCGCGCGCGCGCGCGGGGGGGGTAGGATGCTACGTTCGGAGCAAAGGGCATCGCTACTAGGAACAAGGACGCTATGTTCGGGGCTCCTGGCCTTACTACTAGGAACAAGGACACTGCTAGGGTGGAGGCCATGAAGATCCCAAGAGACATCAGCAACAGCTACAACTGAATTCTCTTTATAAGAAAGAAAGGAAGACCGCAGAAGGAAGACAGAAAGGTCCGAAGGCTGGGGTTTCCCTAAATTCCCCAAATGAATAATGAGACAGCTTGCCTCTCTGCTTCCGCAAGTACCTAGCACCTCTTCACGCCCTACCACCGTCGGAAACAGAATTGAATGTAAATGCAACTTCTTGATGAGAGAAAAACGCAAGCTTGTTCTTTTTCTAACTTGGATTTGGTCACGAAGTTGAAGAGAGTAGACAGTAGACAGCTTGGGTGATGTTCATGAGTTCTCTCACTTTTAAACATTGCTTGTGTGTCTGTTAGCGATATTTAGAAAAAAGAAACCATTATCTAGAGCAAAAGACATGTGAGCTTAGTTTTGCCAAGCAAAAGCTGACCGTGAAGAAAGGATGAACAGAATCCATCTCAGCTTCCGGAGAGGAACTGAACGGGCGAAATCCTTTAAGGCCGGAAGCACAATGAGACGATGCTCATGGAACATCCAGACAGCAGTTCCACTCTCAGTTTTGAAAGATAAATGCTTCCAACTTAATTGCAAGGAATAAGTCGAATAAAAGACGTTGAAAGAAGCGAAGAATTCGAGGCAAAGGGAAGGCCCCCGATTCAAAGACTTACCTTATCTTACCTTCTAAGTTGGCATTCAGGCCTATAAAGCTTTGGTGGTTGCACTGCAAGCGTTCTTGTTGGTAATAGTTAGCCCAAGAAAGCATGCCTTTCGAGAACCGCTATTGTTCTCGATATCTCATACGACATGTGAAGTCCACATTCCTTGGGACTCTTTTCACTGGGAATTGTTTCACCTGTAGTAATAAGAAAGCTTTCTAGTGTGTCTTTGAAGCCTCTTAGTAACAATAAAGCTTTCTAGTAACTAGAAGCTACTAGGTGGAGGCCATCGATAGGAGGTTGGAGGCCATCGCTACTACTGTTGTAACAAGAAAGCTTTCTAGTAACTAGAAGTTTCCTTGGGAATCGATTCACGATCACGTCAGGCTTTCAAGGCACTTCCAGTGACTTGATGGTGTCTGCACAGCTTGAGTGGGGCAAGCCCGGCTCTTACCTGGTTTTACTAGCATTGTTCTGTGTGGAGTGAAGCTATGAGTTCCAAAAAAGCCCATTTGCACTTGTTCATATAACACAAAGTTGTGTCCTTGATTGCTGCTTTGTTGCCCTGAAAAGGGACAGTACATTGCAATTGCTGCCATAAAAGAGAAGATGTAGTCCTCTTGGGGGACTGCTGATAAATTTGGAATTTCAGAACATGGAAATATGCACCTGGTCACTGCTTTTAGGATCCTCTATGCTCGTGGCGCGCGGCATGAGGCTTTGCGACACATGTGACTCGGCCAAAGTCTCCTTGGTCAGTTCGTTCACCATTGACCGATGTGACTTTTCATAGGTCGAAGACATAGCTTCTTGTTACTAGTAGCTTCTTGTTCCTAGTAGCGATGCCCGGGTTCCTAGTAGCT